TATATATATATATATAATAGTTCACAGCCCTTTCCTTTATCCGAACTCTTGAGCCGGATGTATGTGGATTCGGGATTTAGAATCTCCCGTATCTCAGAAAGGTAGTAGGCCCTATATACGATATGCATGTACCGTACAGATCTGGGCGCGTTGCGGGAGAATGTTAATTTCTAGGATCCAAATATGGTAATTCCTTAATATGCACATCTGCGATTCTGCGCGCGCGTCATGATTAAACGATGTCATCTGGAACCGAAGAGCGAATTCATGCTCCCCCCAACGCGATGCAATCACAATATACGCACGAGCGGCGGGGCGCAGAAAACACATTCATTCGTAATTATTTCCCGATCCAGATGGCGCTGCGCGCGGTTACGGGGGAACAAGTTTTAGAACGCGGTCGACCTCGGCTTGTTGAACACACTGCCGTCAGTAAGGCTGCATGCCGTGGTGAGAGCAGACGAACTTCTGTTGTTGTTGTTGTTTTCGCGTTTCTGTGAAAGTGTAGTTCATCGAGGGAAGTGTGTACTGGTGAGGCGCGATCGGTGAGTACACACACACACACACACATGATATAGCTTGTTTTACCACGACATGTGCTTACATGTAGGCAGCCAGTAATAACAGCTAATGCTAGTTCAACTCTGCGGCTAACTTGTGATCTTGTTCGTCTTCCATCGCTGACGGGTTTTACCTGGGTCATCCCGTCGCGTAGTTCATGGACTAGTCTGTGTGGACTTAGAGTAGCCTATAAATCAGGAATGCGGGCTCGCTCGCAGGTACGAGCTATGGCGAGTGTGAGACGTGCATCACGACATACATGTGCTTGCGTTCCCTGATCCTAGTAGTACTAGTAGTATTACTAATTACTAATAGTAGTACAAGTAGTGCACGAAGGGTCGTTGTCGTATCAGGTACTACATATATGTACCAGAGGTAGTTTTGCTCATAGGGTTTATGTCCCCCAGGGTACTGCCGTAACGTACCCTGGTAACTATCCGATATGGTTAGGGTTAGGGAGTAGGCGTAGGCGACTCCCTAGACTCGTTAGTGGAATAGGCGA